TTGTAATGCAGAGGAAGAGAGCAGGACAATCATACAACAAAATACTGGTGGGGTTCTATCTTGCTCCTCTGTGATTTCAATATTTTAAAATAAGGAGCGTGCATTACATCCAGAACAGACTTATACGCTGCAGGGTGAGGCATCCGTGGGGCCTAGGACCCTACGCCCACCCCGAGGACAAGAGGCTGCAGCCCAAGGCAGGCGCACAAGCGGCTGTCCACCCAGGCCAGGTCCTGTGCCCTTTGGGGCTGCCCGTGGCTCTCCGCCGTCTCCTGAGGGTTGGTTGGCCAGCGTCCTCTCCCAGGCACAAGGCCGGGAACCCTGGCCCTCGGGGGCTCCCTCCTGATCTCCCTCTCCTGCAGCGAGTGCTGGGCAGCGGTGACCACGGGGCACTGTGAACCCCGACTCTGCCCCCCTGCTGCTGGAGGACCTGTGGGAACCAAGTTCACGCAATGCAGCTCGGGCCTCTGCCTGCCCCTCACCTTGGAAATCGCAGAAGCTTCCAGGCCTGAAGACTTTACTGGAATCTTTGAGCGAGGCCAGGTTTAGAGTTTGAAGCACAGTTTCCATCCTTGTGCAGGGTTGACCCCTGGCCAAAACTTAAGCAGGAGCACCGCTAAGGGGTTCAGAGGCTCACGAGGCAGCCACCGACGCAGGCCAAGCGGTGAGTCCTGGGCTGACCGTCAGGGGTTCAGAGCCTGCTCTTCCTCTGTGGAACTCGGATGCTGGAGCGGGTTATAGAATCGACCTCCTTAGGGCTGATCTAGCGACCAGGCCAGGAGCAAAGGGATTCTGAGATCTAAAGAAATAAATGAATTGGCTTTCAAGTGAGGAAAGAGTTCCATGGAGTCAAAACTGCAAATTGTGTACTTAAACATCTATAAAACCTAACAGTGTGTCGGCCTCTCAACCATGCTGCTGCGTACGTGTCCGTGTCCGTGTGCAAGTCAGGAGTTTGGCGTCGTTGGTCACATTCGCAGCTTTGAGCAGCCTTTGCCTCCACTGCTGTCACTGAATGAGTTTTGGGAGCTGTACAGGGTGGGGCCTGAAAGGAGCTTTTCTGAGCGGCTCCAGGACTCCCAAGGTGGCCTGGGCTCTGTGATCTGTTTGCAGAGTAAGATGAAATCATAACACAAATGCCCGGCGAGCATTCAGTGCCCTTGATCTTCATTTTTAAGCAGAAAACTCCAGTGAAGATGAAGACAGGGAGACTCTGGGGCTGCTGGGGAAGTCACAGCTGGAGGACCGTGAGGGAGGAGTCGGGGTTCCCTGGGGCCCAAGCCCAGCCTGTGCCTGCAGCCGGCCCTGGGGCCCCCTTGAGCTTGGCTGCGGTGAGGCCTGGGGCCCTGCACCCCAGATGCCATCAGATTCAGCCCCGAAAGACTCAGAGGAAGGGAGGGCTGGGCAGAGAGCCGGGTGAGCCCGGACACGCACGCAGCACCTCTAATGGGGGCTTCTCCCATGTATCACATCTGAAGCGAGTGCCTTGCCTCCCTGCATACCCCAGGCTCAGCTGAGTGCAAGACGGGGTCCCCACCGTGGAGGGCGCTGGCCCAGAGAGAGAGAGGATGTTGCCTGGGTGCTCTGCTGTCTGTGGCGATCTGTGGTGTCCTCAGCTGCCCACGGCATAAGGAGCCGAATGGGCCTCTGTCAGCTGCCGTGGGGCCTCAGTACCCCGTCCCCGGACGCTGGCTGGGAGAAGGGGTCGTCCTGTGTTCCTGGCCAGTGTTTCCGGCCAGTGTCCCGCGCTTCTGCCCAGGGCCACTGTTAGGGATGCAGTGAAAGTCCTAGCAGACCTGTGGGTCTCTTGGTGGCTCTGAGAAGCCATAGCCTCAGGGCAGGCCCTTGACCTCTTTTGCCTCAGTTTCCATGTCAGGATCGGGAAAGGGAGGTGCTCCTCAGATCCATAATTACGATTTGTTTATTGTGAGCTCCCAGCTGCCGGGATGAAAGTCTCTGTGGGGCAGCGTATTTTATTGTTATAATCACAGCGGACTCTGGAGGAGATTCAAAGAGATGTTTTATAACCCCGATTATAGAAGTTTCTCCGGTAAGGAGGAATATCCCAGAGTAATTAGGGCAGACGCTGGGTAGCAGCCCTGCCAAGAGACTGCCAGACAGAGCTGCTGGAGCCAGAGAGGAACCGTGCCTCCCCCTTCGGGGTACTGGAGATTGAGCCCTCACACTGAGCTACATTCACAGCCTTTATTTATTTTTTCTTTAGCAACGGGGTCTCCTGAAGTTGCTGTGTTGCCCTGGCTGGGCTTGAAGATACCACCCTCCTGCCTCAGCCTCCCAGAGTGCTAGCATCGCAGGCCTGCTGCATGGTGTCTCCCCCACACGACAGCAGCCTGGCTGCACGTGAGGCCGCGGGATGGGGTGCACACATGCGCCACCTCCTGAGGAGGGGGACACTGGAGGAGTGGTGAAGTCCAGGAGGGTGGACCTGGCCCACAGTCTTGGCCCTCTCAGGATACGCAGACGCTCAGGGGCTTTCCTGGGGCTGACGTCTCGTGGCCAGGAGTGGCTGGTGCCACCTCAGGCATTGTCTTAGGGTTCAGGGCTGGGTGAAGGAGGAGAAAGTGCCAGCTGTCCTGTCCCTGTGTCAGAGAAGCAGAGGCTTCCCAGATGGCCTCAGGGTCCCTCCTTTCCTGGGACTGCATCCCTCCGGCTCTCCTGCACACCTCCTCCTAGCCATCTCTCGGTCCTCGCATCCCCCACACACCCTCCAGCAAGAGACTGTCGGCACCCATAACTGATTGCTGCAGGAACATCCCATGGCTCTGCATCCCCTGGGTGGCGGCAGGGACTGGGCTCACTCCTGTGACTCTGGGTCCATGCTGAGCTGGCGCACAGCAGGGCCACAGTGCTGTCTCCATGACAGAGGCCTGGCTGCGGGCCTCAGTTTCCCTGTTGGCCGGTGGACAGGAGCTGGTCACTTGATCCATCACCTGAGAGCCTAGCGTGTCCAGACGCCCAGCACAGGCACAGCTGAGCGGCAGCCTGGCCCTCCATGCGGCTCCTTCCCCAGGGGCTGGCATCCCCCTCCTTCAGGAAGGAACCACGGAGACTGCTCACGGGGTGCCGTGGGCCCAGCTGAACCAAAAACCCTGCCCACTCCCCTTGTTCTCAAGATGCCACTCAGGCCCCAGAGAGAGGAGGGACGGGACTCGCCAGGCCACGCCTCTCTCGGCCACCTGCCACGTTCCCACCATCACCCTCAGATGGGCTGAGCCAGGCTGGGTGCGGGCAGGGACATCTCCCAAAGAGCCAGCTGCCTGGTGCACAGAGCATGCTGGCTGGTGTGACAGACACTGGTTGGGGGGCACAGAGCTCGGGGACCCAGCTTGCCATCGTGGCCAGAGCCGGCGGGGCAGCCCCTGGACCCCAGCTCCTCCTGAGTGACTGCTCTGATGCTCCCCATCTGATCTCCCAGTCCCTCTGCCCTGTCCCTCCTGTGGCATCTTTGACAGCTCACCCACGCCAGCCACCGTCTGCCCCTTCGGAGGGGGGACTTTTCTCATGGCCCTTCCTGACTTTAGGGTCACAAGCCACAGGGTCCCGGAAGCCAGGGTCTCACACGCGTTCCCACGGCTCCCCCTGAACCGGCACTGCATTTGTGCTTGTGCGGGCGAGCGCTGTGAAATCCCCAGCAGGCACCTGCTTTTCCTGTCAGTTCATTTGCATAAGAGATACAGGGGAGGGAGACTTCGAAACTGGGCAAAGAAGCAGGATCCCGAGTGAGGGAGCAGCCAGGCGGCCCTGCTGGGGATGGAGGGGCTGCCTGCCGCCCTTCCGCCTCTCGGACAAGGTCGCCTCTGGAGCCCAGCCTTCACTGGGGAAGTCATTCCTCTGCTAAACCCCAAGATGCTTTTCTAGCCCCTCCACACGGGACGGTCCGTACCTGACAGCAGCCTGAGTCGTGCAATCCGTGGCTGCTGCTACTGCCGCCCAAGGGACTGCTTGGGTCCCATTGGCAAAGAGTGGATCGTGAAACCTCTATTCCCATCCAGGGGCACTGTCTCACCCAGCCCGGCTCCCCTGGTTTACCCTTTGGTCTCTCCGTAAACCTACAGTTGGGACTTAACGAAGTTCATATTGGGCCGAGGTCTTGTCTCCCACACGCCTGAGCATCTGAGCCAGAAGGGGGCAGCATTTTCCTACCAAGCAAAAAGCTTCAGAAGCCAGATGATTGGGTGGGTGGGGGCCTAGTCCAGGGCGGAACCCGCCTTCCACACTGCCTTGAAGTCTCCCTGTCCACTCTGCTTTGGGGGCCTCAGGAGTAGCAAAATCGGGCCTTCATCTGATTCTCTGATTCATCCAACAGCTGTCTTCAAATAAAAGCGGCAGGCCGGGTACACCTGCTGCTCAAAACTAAACGGAGCGAGGTTCTCCAAAGAAAAGGACGGGGGGTGCGAGGTGGGAGATGCGGCCGGAGCTCAGGAATTGGCGTGACCGCGGGGGAGGCCCCGTATTTGGGCCGAAAGCAGCCAGCAGATGTGGCTTTAAAAGCAAACGGAGCAGGAGTGTGACTGGGCAAGGGGCCTCTTGGGGTCTCGGTTTCCTCATCTGGAAAGTGGCTAAAACAGCAGTTCTGCACTCTGATGGGTAATTAAGGCTCAAGCTCAGGAGTGGGGCTACTGCTAGGAGGGGCGGCACCGGCCCTGGCCAGCGTCCAGCGTCACTTCCTGGCATGGATCACCTGTGATCGGGTGCAGTCGTTTCCAGCACCCCAAACACTGTGGCCGTTCGGAGAAATCGCTGGGGCCCTACCACCCCCCACCTCCTATGCACAGAAATAGAATTGGTGAGCTTGTTCTGCGAACGCGGTCATGCGCTGTGTGACAGCATTTCAGGGCGAGGCGACTGCAGACTCACGGCTGTCCTATAACACCCTGTCTGTTCGGACCCCAGTGCGTGCCCACTGGGCTGTGTGCAAAGCTTCGCGGTCACCAAATGACGCATCTCACAGGACAGAATTTTCCTGTTTTAATCTCTGCGGGACCCAGGCCCCATCGGTGCGTCCAAAAGGCTTCTGGGGAAGAACGCAGAGCTTCAGCCGCTGCACCCTAAAGGCGGCCCCGGGACCAGGAGGAGGCTCCCAGGGGCTGGTTCTGGTCAGGGCTTTTGAGGTGCTGGGTTTTGATACTAGTGGGGAGGAGCAAGGAGAATGTGGAGCTTCAGAGCCGAAGTCGTGTGCCCACCCAGTGTGGTTCCAGCTTCCAAAGCTGCATCCAGGAGATGGGGGCTTCTGACTGTGCTGTGGCTTGGCAGAAGTGACTGGAGTCTATCGCCCTGTCTGTGTTCAAGGGGAGGGAATCCCCCTTCCAAATAAGGCTTCTCCTCGTCACTCACAAACCAAGAGCAGCCGGCAGCAAGTCAGGCATGGTGGCGCACACCTGTAACCCAGGCTCACTGGGAGGCTGAGGCAGGAGGATTACAAGTTCAAGGCCAGCCCTGGATAATTTAGGGACGAATTGAGACACTTTTTTGAAATGAAAACAATAATAAAAGAAGGGCCGGGGAGTATGGCTCAGTCTAAAAGTCCCTAGGTTCAACTCCCAGGAGCACACACACGCACTAAAAGGGGGTTGAGGGAGAGAGGAGAAAATCGGGGAGAGAAGGGAGGGAAAGGCTGCTGCATGGGGGAGACTAAGCGGGTGCCTCTGCGGCACTGCCCCTCATGCCTCCTTCTTGGGTTAGCATGAGCCAGCCGTGAGGATATTCCTGTGACCCCTTAAAGAAGATGTTGCTGTAGCCGCAAGGGAGACTCCAAACCTACCATGGTCACACCCTAGGAAGGCCCACAGGTGACAGGTGGGTGTTGTCCTACTGGGCTGGAACTTGCGTGACTTAGTCCCCACCTCCATGGTGCCCCCCAGGGATGGCTCCTTGGGAGGCCAGTAATAAGGCTGTGGGGCCGGACGGTGCCAGGACAGTGCCCTGCATTTAGCAGAGAATCAGGACAGCAGACCAACTCCCTGATTCATTCTGCCTTTTGGGGACACACACAGCAGCAGGACCAGCCTGACAGAGTGGGGGCATCAGTGCCGCTGTGGCCACTGCCAGTAGGAGGCACAGGTTCTCCTGGCAGCCAGACCGGGGCAGGACGTGGAAGGAACTGTGTTTGGAGCTGGCCTCCAGCTTGCCAGTGACCACACTGGGCAGTCGCTGGGAACAGCACAGGACCACGAGCCATCTGCTGCTCGGTGGGAGCTGACACCCACGAGTCACCGAGCCCAGAGGCTGGCAGGAAGGGAGCTGCCATGGACACAAACACCAGCGTAAATGTCCCCGCCACGCCAGGAGGCAGAGCCACAGTGTGGGTCCTCGGCCACCAGCCATTCTCAAGGCTTGGAGCTGCTCTAGGACCCTGGCATTTCTGTGGGCATTTGAAACCAGAAGCCTTGACCTCGGAGGTGAGGGCCGCTAGCTCTGCTTCTGTGCTCCCTCGTGCAAGCTACCTCCAAACCCTCGTCATGAAAGAATTGGCCGGCGAGGCACGGGGGTCCTCTGGGAGGGCTCTGAAGAGAAAGCAAAGGTTTCATGTATTTACCATTCGCATTATTCTGCCAATTTTGTCCTCGGCAGACAGGGTGGGGGTGAGGGTCTGGCTGCGGGCAAGGTTGTCTGTGCGGCTCCGAGTCTGGGCGTGGGTGCTGGCCTCCAGGTCGCAGTGACTTTCCCATCACTGTTTCTCCTCCAGTGGAAAGAGCTGCTGCCTATGCTTCTCAGTCCCGGGGGCTGCATGTAAACAGGAAGGGTCTGTGGAGAGCAGAGCAGCCTCAGCCAGATGGACTCCTCCCTCTCACTCCCTGGGAAGTTGGTCCCGGGGCAGCCGCAGAGAGGGCAATGGAGGGTTGAGTTGCTCTGGTCAGTTCTGGGTTCTGGTTCTGCTGATCTCTGTGAGAAGCCCCTGGTGGGACCCTGGGCGCATCTGGGAAACATGGCCAGGGACTTCTGAACTGAGCTGAGAATACCTATCCAGGGTGTCAGCCAGTTTGATGGAGTGGAGAGCCCGGGGCCCAGAGTTAGGGGTCCTGGGGACAGGGGAGCTCATTCCAACCTGGCTGGGTGTCCAGACCACTGAGACTTCTGGCCCAGAAGCAGGGGACCCTCATCTGGTGCATGCGTGGCTTTATCTACCTGCAGGGTGGTCGTGCTCACCCGGGGGAAACATCCAGGCTCGAGTGGGCCGGGAAGTGCCGCTTCTCCTGTGCTAAGTCCCTCTCACCTGTGCTGCTACCCCAGCGCGGCCTTGTGAAGGTCGGACGAGATGGCATCTAGGGGCTCAGCACTGTGCTGGCACCAAGCACTCAAGCGGCACCACAGGGAACCAGAACCTTCGTCTCCACATCACTGCACCAAGTCTGTGGTTAAAAATGCGCCTATTGCTGCGAGACCGAAGCCACGGGTGAGAAAGCGGCCCCTTGAGCCGCTCCCTGTGTCTGAGACTACGGGAGCTCAGGCTGAACCTGCCTTCGTTGTCCTGGATGTGCCCCGGTCCCCAGCTCCTGGGCGTCCCTCCTCGGGAACACTGGTGGCGCCTCCCACCTCCCAGGGGCACGGCCCTGGTTGCCCAGCATCGGGAAGAGGCGGGCCGGAGCGGGCAGCACAGTGGACAGCGTGGAGCTGTCGTGCCCTGCACAAGCCCGCGGGGATGGACGGCCCAGGGCCGAGTCCCCTCCTGTGGCTCCCCCCTGTGTCCCCAGCGTCCTGCTTCGTCCACTTTTCTCCTCACATCCGGGGAGCCCTTCCCGACTCCGGCCTTCCCTCTGCCGCATTCGATTCGCTACCCACGCGGGAGACAATGGGCAGGCTCCTTCCCTGGAGACAGCAACACAGCCCCCTTAGGGACCAGCGGGCCCCGGCGGAGCCCGGCCCTCCCGGTGGACCAGATTGCTTCACACACCCGTGTGGCAGGCAGGTACAGAGGCTTTACTTCACCTGTGACGCCCGAGGGACCAGGAGGTTGAGCAACTTGCTTGGAGTCTGCCACCAAGGACTTTCTGCCAGGCTGTTCCCCCAATCGCTAAAGAAATTCCAGATCAATAAATGTGAATGCGAAAACCACACTGCCCTACGGCGTTACTTTAAAAATAAAACAACTAATTTTTTTTATTACTAAGTAGAATCTGCTCATTATAGGAAATCAGAAAAAAGTCTACTGAGGGGAAAAAATAAAAACCACCCATAATATTTTGGTTCCTGCAATTTCCAATCTAGCTGGCTGGCTTCTCTCTGCATTTACCAGCGAATTAAATTTTAGTCATCATTTTTAATGGCGTCCGTGTCTCCGGGTTTCTCTGTTTAGATGCATAGCTGTATCTAATTTTTCTGCTGCTGGACTGTCAGACTAATATTCCGGAGCACATATCTTTGTCCACTCTTCTGGTTGTTGTGAGCAGAAGCAATGTGTGTTTGAAGCTTACAGTGACCACCGCCAAGGCCCAGATCCCTGTAGTCACCACCGCCCTCCAGCAGGGCCCTGGAGAAGTGAGGGCCGAACCCAGGCCTTGCACTGGGCTACACCCTCAGGGTCTTCTAAATTGCTGCGCTCGCTGCCCAGGCTGGGCTCGAACTTGCAATCCCCTGCTTTGGCCTTCCCGGGAGCTGGGTTACAGGTGGTGTGTGCCATATTCATCTGCATTTTAGATTATTAGGAACCTGAATACCTTATTTTTCTGTGTGCAATTTGGTGGCCCTTTAGGTTTCTTTTCCTGTTATTAGGGCATAGAAGTGATACATCTCCTCTGCAGCCTCCACCGGGCATTTTCTTTCTTTACCTTTTTTGCCCCTCAACCTTCATCTTTGCCACCTGAAAAGTGACTCTGGTTATTAGCCCCTTCTGCTTTAAAGACAGGATCCTGGGCACCCTGGGGACACTCTGACACTGACTGGTTTCCTGGTCCTCCTGCCTAGCTGGACCCCCCTCCCCAAGCACCTGGGAGGTCAGGTGAGGAGGAGAGGAGGCCACAGGGAAGCATCCAAAAAACCAGCTGCCTACCTGAGACCACTTCCGTTCTCTGAACTCAATGTTCCGGTCCCACCCAGGGGCTGTGAAGATCTAACAATGGATGGTTCAGGAAGCCACTGCGTCTTCTGCCCAGGGCTTCAGAGAGAAGTGAGAGACAGAATGCACAGTTTAGGGACACTTAATAGACCTGTGGTGACTCAGCCCTGGCCTAGCACTGCACAGAGGGCAGCAGAGGCTTGGAGCTGTCGCAAGGAGCCCCAGAGCACAGCGGGCCTCTGTGGACACCTTGCAAGGTGTTGGGGAGGACAGGACCCCTTGAAACCGCCACAGCACTGAGCCCTGGGAAGACTGTCTTTTCCTGCACACACAACAATGATGATGCTTAATATGCAAGTTCTTCACAGAAAGAGGCCAAGAACAATGGCCAATAAAATAGAACAATATACTGTATCAAGCTATTTAAAACTTGTGAATTGTTTATTTCTGGAGTTTTTTATGTACATTTTCAGACTGCTGTTGGTCATGAGTAACTGAAACTGCGGAAAGTAAAACCTAGGCAGAAACCTTGATTTTAGTTCACTGTATTAATCATGCTTTCTGACTTCTGGCAGATCCATGAGATAAATTTTTGTTTTGCTTTGGTCTTGCTTTGATTTCTTTCTTTCTTTCTTTCTTTTTTTTTTTGAGACAGGTTCTTGCTATGTAGCTCAGGGTGGCCTTGAACTTGAGAGGGTCCTCCTACCTCAGCCTCCCTAGTGCTGGGGTTACAGGTGTGCACCATTATGCCCAGCTAATCTCTGTTGCTTTAAACCCCTAGTGTGTGGCAATTTGTAACAGCAGCCTCAGGAAAGTAAAGCTGATCTAAATGCAGTGAGGGATCAGGAGGACGCAAACCTTGGCTCTGCTTTCGAGGGCCCAGGAGCAACTGTTCAGCCTCTTTTTTGCCTTAGTCTTCTCCATGCCACGAAGGGGCCGTGCTTTACTCACAGTGGCCAGAACTATTCTGGTTGTATGTGACAGAAAGTCCACTGTAAGCCGACTCAAGTAAAAGATGCCAAGTAGACCCATGGCAGGAGTGGAGAGAAACAGGGCTAGCTTCAGGCACAGCTGCATCTAGGCATTCGAGTGATCTAGAGCTTCCCCTCCTCCCACGTGCCTGCAGACACGAAGAACACAAGTCTTCTTGGGACAACCGGCTCATGTCACCATATACAGATCCCAGGGAAGCTTCTGATTGGCTGGGCTCAGGGCACAAGACTAATGCTGGGCACTCTGGTCCAATCCTGGGTCATGAACGTGGGACACCGGGGACAGCCTAGCCCAGGTCGGAGGCCCCCAGGGAGGAGTGAAGAGCGGGAGGCATGCAGTGGCCTTGACATTGCATGGTGCTCATAGAAGGAACCCGTGAGTGGCAGGTGCACAGGCAGACCAGCAGGGGTGGACGGGGTGCAGGGGAGACGAAAACAGCAGACGTCCTCTGCTTGACTTCATGGATCTGCTGCAAATACCAAGCTAAAAGCAACTGGGCCCTTCCTGACAGCTCGTGGACCTGCCTGCGGCTGCCCTGCCTGTGGAGGGCGGTGGGAGGATCGGACTGGGTGATGAGTGGGGTTCTGACTCTGGCAGAGCTTAGAAGCCTCAGGACTTCAGCATTCACCCAACGGAAAATAGGGACCCATTGGAGGTTCCTGAGCAGGAGACGTGGAATTTAAAAAGCAATGGTGAGGGAGAATTTGAAACTCCCTAAGAGAACCCAGAGCCAGTGTGTGATAGAACCTTTAAGCAAGGCCCGCCTTGGTGCCCTCCCAGTTGGTAAAACTGAGCTGCACTGTGTTAACATCTGCCTCTCTCTTTGTGGGTTGCATACGAACCCTGTGTATTAGTCACCTTCCTGTCCCTGGGACAAAATACTAAACACCTGCCACTTAAGGAAAAGAGGTTTATTTTGGCTCTAGGTTTCAGAAGATTCAGTCCATAGTTGGCTGGCTCCAAGGCAGGAATGCATGGCAGAGGGTCCAAGCTGCACCCTTGAGACAGCCAGGAAGCAGAGAGAGAGAGAGAGAGAGAAGGAGGTGGCACAAGAACACACCCCTCCAGGTCACACCCCTGGTGACCACCTCCTAACAGCCCATTTAGCTCTGAACTCATCCATGGATGAACCTGCGCAAGATCTAATCTCCTTTCAAAACCCCTCCTCTGGACACATGAGCCATGGGGTACTTTCTAGATCTAAACCACAGCAAGTGAGCAGATGCCCGGGTCTTAAGAGCTGACTCAAAGTAGCAAACTTTCATGGCTGAACTTTAATCAGCTCTGGAGTGACTGTGTTTCAAAGCTCTCACCAAAATCCAGAGTCTCTTCTTTTCTTAACAATCCCTCCATGTGACATGTAGGAAACTAGCCTGATGTTCGAACTGGGAGGGTAAGCAGCTGCCCGCCACACATGGCTTGGGAGTGTTTGCAGTGTGGCTGGTCTGCATGGAGGTGTGCATCTGTGTAAAACACATGTGATTTCGGGCCAGGGATTTAGCTTAGCGGTTCTGCTGCCTGCCTTGCAAGCGCAAGGACCGGAGTTAGAAACCAGGTACCAAAAAAAAAAAAAAAAACCCACACATGGGATTTCGAAGACCAACCACCCCAGAAGTGTAAAATATCTGGTTTTCCTATTCATTTAATATTGAAGCCATAATATTTTAGCTAAATAAATTATTGTATGTTATTAAAATTAAGTTCACCTGCCCCTTTTTATGTTTTGTATGTGGTTATCGAAAAACTGAAAAGTGCACGTGTGGTTTGCGTTTGATTTTGATTGGACAAGTTGTGGCAGGTTGGCACACGAGTACATTCTCTTTCTGATCACCCAAAAGCCCCCTTGGGCTGCGGTGGAGCTCGGTGGCATAGCGCTTGCCCAGCAAGCTCCAGGGCCTCTATTTGACCCTCAGCATTGGAAAAACAAAACAAACAGCAAAAACCCATTGTACGAATAAGGAAATTGAGGCATGGAGAGGGAAGGGTCGGCAGAGCAGTACTGCGTAGAGCTGGCATTGGCTCCCAGGCTGGTTTTGTGCACAAGTTGCTCTTTTTTTGTCTCTGCTACACCAAGTTGCCTGTTGGTGGCATTGGCAAATCCGCTGTGCTGTCGCCGTGAGCGTGGTACACACTTGGTGTCTCGTGTGGGCTACTGGCCACAGAGCCACCACAGCTCCGTGAGCCGACTGTCCCAGGGCAGCCAATCAGGGCCTGAAGCTCCGGCACATATCTTGGAGCAGTGGCAGCAGAGAAGACAGGTTCTGTTTGTGGGACTCTTCCCCTGGGGGAGGGAAACCTTCCCCAGAGATTGATTAGGACAGCCTAACTCAGCGTGGTCTGGGGCACAGCGGGACTGCCACCGCCAGGAGAGTTGCAGCACCGAGGGCGCGCCAGACCTGGATCAGAGTCCCATGATTTATGGGCATTGGCATTCTCAGAGTGCTGCTCTAGGAGGCTTCTTTTGCAGCTGATTGGCCAGAGCTACAGAATATGCAAATGACCAAACCAACCAGTGAAAAGAACAGAATTACCATAGACCTTTTAGGGCTTCGGCCTTCAAGTTGGGGGCAGGGAGGCACCACCTTCCCTGCTCACAGAAGGATGAGTCTGGCTCCCCTGGGAAGAAGAACCATGTGTGGGTGTCAGGTCCCACCGTACAGTGTGGGCTAGGCGATCCGGAGGCTGCAACTCCTTGAAGTTTTTCTGTGAAGATTAAATGAGGTAAGGAATGTGCCGTAACTGATGCATTCACTCATTTCACCCAATAGGTACTTTTTTCAGGCCTGAT